CTCCATCAAAAGCAGTTAGTATAGACTAACTGCTTTTGAATCTGCACGTGCAACTTTGATGTCATAATGCTTTGCAATGATGAGCAGATTTGCCTTCGTACATTTATCTAGCATCTCCAATGTAGGGTTTTCCACAAATTCTTGCAACGTAAAGTCCATGGCTTTTTTAAATATTGTATAAGCCTGCGTGTTTATGCAACTTTCAAAATGATTCCACCAATCTTATAACCCCTCTGGGTGGATGTCAGTGACAGAAAATCTACCACAAGTCTCTTTAAAGGACTCATATCTGGGCACAGCAGAGCTTCAGAGTAGGTGATTAGAGCGACTACCATACATCTGGTAAAAAAAGATCCCGGGTGAGCCCCCATTTTGTTACGTTCCCCAGCAAGAAACCAAAAATTGGGGAACTAGCAAAGAGTCACTAACAACAACCAAAACGAAACAGGTGGGGTTCCGAAAGTTGACTAGCAACAACAACTGGGACCTAAAAGACGCCCATCATGAGACCCACTAACTTTGCCCAAGAAGAGGGAAACAAAATTCAAACCCACACCAAACAGGAAGAAACACCTTCTGACTAACGAGGTGACAAGCCAGCACAGGAACTGTATAACACCTTCTGACTAACGAGGTGACAAGCCAGCAAAGGGACTGTATAACACATACTGACTAACGAGGTGACACCAATCAGTGCTAACGTCCAACCAAAGCCTGTAACACTAGTTGCAGCAGGGGCCGATCTCATTGCCATGGAAACCATCCCAAGCGTGAAAGAGGCTGAAGCTCTGGTGGAGCGGCAGAGTGTTTCCAGACTCTAGTAGACGCTCTTATCCAGAGCAACTTACAGTTAGTGAGTGCGTACATTTTTCATACTGGCCCCCCCGTGGGAATCGAACCCACAACCCTGGCGTTGCAAGCGCCATGCTCTACCAACTGAGCTACAGGAGGCCATGTCTTTGTATCTATCTAGCATTTGAATTGTGGAACAAACTTCTAGTTAGAATAGACATAATGTGCATGCCAATGCAAGTAACTGCAGCCCTATTAAACAAAGCCATGCTTTCTTATGCGGGTAACATTACTACCACTCCAAAGCCTGTCACTCAACAAAAAGGAAGAACTCAAGCATTCTAGCTGCAATATTCAAGCTCTCACAAACAATTCATACAAAAAGGAAAACACACTAACATACGTTCAAGCCAGGAGGGTTGCAATCCACCAGACAAACCTGTGATATACTATTTACAAGGACGCTATCCTGATACATTCGCAAAATACTTACAAAATTGAGTCAATTGTGGATGCCGAGTTAAAAAGCTAAATCTTGGCTCTCCTTCTCCTGTAAGGTAATCCTTGCCATCGCTGTGTAGAACACATTCTCTCTTAAATCTGAACTTTATGTCAAATCGCCAGAATGTTATTTGATAACCTTTGTATTTCATATCAAATTTGCCCTGATACATGGCTGTGGACTCCTGTGGCGTCTAGGATTAAAAAAAAAAAGTGGTACCTTAAATACAGCGATATGACTGGTCTTGTGTTTTCCTCAGCATGGACAGTGTATATCTGACCAGCCGTTTCTCTGAGGCGGTCCAGGTGGCCCAGTAGGTCCGGTCAGATGGTGCCCTGTAAGGGGGTGAACTGCTGTCCTCCAGCCCTGGTCAAGCCCCTCCTAGACTCAGCCAGGACACAGAGGAAACCAGGCCTCACCTGGGTGGTCTACCCCAACAGTGGAGAGGAGTGGGATACACGCTCCTGGTGAATCAAGAGTACAACTAAATCACCTTCGATGTGTCCCAAATGATACCTTAAATTCCCCTACATGGTGCACTACTTTTGACCAGGGCCCATAAGTCTGTGGTCGAAAGTAGTGCACTAAATAGGGAATAGGGTGCCATTTGGGACAAAGCCCTTGGCTTTACACACGTCTGTGACCTGACACATCCAAGTAGTAATAATTAGGTTACACACTGATATCTGCTGTAGTATAAAAATCCAGGAGATATTAACTTTTCACTTCAGTCAACAGTATCGTGATGATTCCTCAATTGCCTCAAGTGAGTATTGAGTGAATATCTTGTATTGATTTAATAGTTTCAACATTTATATAATTTAAATGTGGAGAAAAGCAGAAAATAGAGTACAATCAATTGCTGAACTGAGTCAGAAGTGGATGAAACAAGGGACTGCACTAATAGGTAAGGGGAATCATTTGTATGTTTATTTAAGCTTAATGTAGCCAGGTAAATAGTTGAGAACAGATGATGTAATGTAGCCAGGTAAATAGTTGAGAACAGATGATGTAATGTAGCCAGGTAAATAGTTGAGAACAGATGATGTAATGTAGCCAGGTAAATAGTTGAGAACAGATGATGTAATGTAGCCAGGTAAACAGTAGAGAACAGATGATGTAATGTAGCCAGGTAAACAGTTGAGAACAGATGATGTAATGTAGCCAGGTAAATAGTTGAGAACAGATGATGTAATGTAGCCAGTGTTCTGTCCTCCGTGTGTATTAAATAACCAGGATCTATTCCTGCTTACATAGTACAGCTACAAAGACAGCTCCATGGAAACATGCCTGGGTCTGAGGCCTCAGAGGAAGGAAAATACATGCACAGAACCAAATCTGTAAAAAATTAAATAAAACACTTTACATGGAAATCAAGCTATGAGAATGAGAAAGCAATCTTCAGTATGAGCTCTTATTAAATCAAATCAAATGTTATTTGTCACATGCGCCGAATACAACAGGTGTAGACCTTACAGTGAAATGCTTAATTACAAGCCCTTAACCAACAATGCAGTTTTAAGAAAAATAAGTGTTAAGTAAACAATAGATAAGTAAAAAATTAAAGCAGTAAAATAACAGTAATGATAACAGTAGCGAGGCTATATACAGGGGGGTACCGGTACAGAGGCTATATACAGGGGGTACCGGTACAGAGTCAATGTGAAATAACAGTAGGGAGGCTATATACAGGGGGTACCGGTACAGAGGCTATATACAGGGGGTTCCGGTACAGAGTCAATGTGCAGCGGTACCGGTTATTACTCGTTATGTAAGTCCACATTAATATCATGTAGAGATCCACAGTGGAGGCGTCGTAATGCCCATTAAACCTGACGGTCAAACAGGGAAATGGTTCCAATCGTTTTTCCACCATTCATTTTCAGAAACATTTCAAATGTACATGGTTATCAAAACATCAAGGGGCCTCCCCGAGTGGCGCAGCGGTCTAAGGCACTGCATCGCAGTTCTAGGGGCGTCACTACAGATCCAGGTTCGATCCCGGGCTGTGTCGCAGCCGGCTGTGACCGGGAGACCCATGAGGCGGCCCACAATTGGCCCAGCGTTGTCCGGGTTAGGGGAGGGTTTGGCCGGTTGGCGGCTCCTTGTGGCGGCCAGGTCGCCAGCTGTACAGTGTTTCCTCCGTCACATTGGTGCGGCTGGCTTCCGGGTTAAGCGAGCAGTGTGTCAAGAAGCAGTATGGCTTGGCAGGGTCATGTTTCGGAGGACGCATGGCTCTCGACCTTCGCCTCTCCCGAGTCCGTACGGGAGTTGCAGCGATGGGACAAGACTGTAACTACCAATTGGATGTCACAAAATTGGGGAGAAAAATGGTCTAAATTTTTTTTTAAATACTAATAAACATCATGCCTTTTGTTTCGTGTAGTCTCACCCTGGCGTGACGTTTTAACAACCATGTAAATCTCTCTCGGACAAGGTGACTTTTATCAATATATTATGCTCTATTTACTCTGATTCCAAAATGCTAATTAGCATCAAAGTAGACGTCATGCAAAACTACAAATCCCTGCAAGCTCCTGCACGTCATCTCTAGCTGACACCTTTGCTAACAGGGATGGTGTCATTGGAACCATTTCCTCGTTTGACCGCTAGATGTTATGGGTTTTATGACTCATACTGTGCTACTCTGTGACTCATTATTTGTAAAATTATGACACTTTTTGATATGAGTTTATATAAATGGTTATTTATTAAGAAAAAGTAGTCATCTAATCCACATGAATAAATAATGATACATTTATAGTAGTGTTGGGATCAGTCTAGACACGAAACCACAGATGCTTGAGCAGGAGAGTTAACTGTGGCTTTAGACACAACATGGAAGCATTCCTTATCCCTTTGTCTCTCACGTTGGACATCAATAACAACACAAAGAGAAATCTCTACATCTTGGTAGGTGATTATCATCCTTTGACTTCATTTCTCAGGTATTTTCTTTTGGGAAAAGAACGTCTACACTTAACATAGTTTCACAGGACATCACAATGTCAACTGTACCCACTGAATTGTTTGATGCACGTTTATGCAGTTGGTTTCACTGTAGCTGAGTTTCTCAACTCTACCACATGCACATCTCGGTGGAGTTGGGTTGCGACGACTGTGGGGGCGGAGTGTACCTCCGACTACATCGAGTCGCTGTCAGTCGATACAAGGAAACAGCCGGTTGTTGTATTTGACAAAAGTTTTATTAAAAAGTGTGGATTTCAGCAAACAAAGAAAAGCAGCTACAGAGGACAGACATAGGTACAAGGTAAGGGTTTAAGAACTTAAATTCTTACAAGTATTGACTGACAGCGACTCGATGAGTTGGAGGTACAGTCCGCCCACAGTTGTCTCCGCTTAACTCCATTGATGTGATGTGCATCGTGGAGTTGAGAAAAACTTGGCTTACTGTAGTAACTGGATTTTAGTCACATTCGCAAACTAACACAACTCACTTTAAAGTGTATAATGAATTGATCTTAATCTTCTTAATGGCTTTTAAATGCAATGATATCAGACATTCTGATTAATAGCAGCAGTCCTCTACATTTACATTATAGTCATTTAGCAGACGCTCTTATCCAGAGCGACTTACAGGAGCAATTAGGGTTAAGTGCCTTGCTCAAGGGCACCGACAGATTTTTCACCTAGTCGGCTCGGGGATTAGAACCAGCGACCTTTCGGTTACTGGCACAACGCTCTTAACCACTAAGCTACCTGCCGCTCTATACATTTGCTAGATGATTAAACATCGTTTTCACACTAAAGTGTATCAACTTGTATGTTGTACGGACTTTCCATCAGAATAATCCAGCAAAATCCTTGATGGGAATCTTGACGATGCTATAAGTGTGCTAGATGGGATAAAAGAACACTTTGGCTTTCTTTTTTGGTGAAAACCATGAGAATGTTAGATATACTAACCAGCATATTTTAGCAGCACTAATTCCACAGCCTTCTCACTGAGTCTCAGTCATCTGTGGTATCTTCTTCGAGATCGCTCTCAGCTGAGCTCCTGTGTCTGTACTCGGTGGTGTTAGACAGGCATTTCCAAGCTACGTCCTTCTGGTTACTGGTGCCTGTGCTGTTGGAGCGGCCTAGCCGGGCCAAAGCCTGGTGTTTTCCTGAGGTCTTCTCCCTGTCATCCTGGGCCTCTGCTAAGCCCCCCTGGGCCCTCTCAGACCCCTGGTGGTGGAGGTCATGCCTCAGGTTCTCCAGGTTGAGGGCCCAGGGGCCAAGCTTCTGCCAGTTGACCCTCTGGAAGGCCATGATGCAGTGAAGGTTCCCTCCCACCTGCCAGGAGAGGAGAGGTTCACGTCAGAAACGCTGTACAGACCCAAGAATGGTACCTTCAACTTTTTCATTTTAACATAACTATAAACTGAGAAGAGGAGAGGTTCACGTCAGAAACTCATACTTGAGCTCTGCTACCTGACCCGAGCCCGACGGGCCCCGACATTCTACATTGGGTTAGGTTAGGGCCTGTTTCATTTTTCATCCATAACTAGGGTACGGCAGGGCTCGGGTATCACTAACATTTTGAAGCTGAGACGTTTGCTCGTGCTCTGCTGCGCAGTACAGTCATATCTGACTAAGATCATAACATGGTGCCAGAAGTGCTTCAACCAAATATAAGACAGGAGATGTTATTTCACAGATAATAATACTAATGTTTTTGTCAGAGTTTAGAGTGATGAAAAGTAGCTAACAGCTCTCACGTCTCGTCATGGAGAAGAGCAGCCCAAGCGAAGCCGTTGCTATTGTCACTCACAGACTCAGAGCCACCATAAGCAGAGAGCGTGCAGCGCACCGGGAGCGAGTGACAGACAGAGGAGCAGCTAATGGATTTCTGGTTTCGGGGAGGGGAGCAGCGAATGGATTTCTGGTTTCGGGGAGGACCGGGCAGAAGCAATCAGGCCTGGGCAGGGTAGGGCCTGAACGTTGCGGGCCTTACTCATCCCCATCCCCGTGTTAGCATAACTGGTCCCCTTAACTAACATAATTATAAACTGAAATTAAAATTAAAACCTTTTTGGTTTTGCGGCACTGAATACCCCTCTCCGTGTGGCGAATATCAAGGTATTCTGGATTTTGTGTGTTGAGATCTGTAACAATATCAGCCCACCTAAAAACAACCAAAGTTAGAGAAGTGAGAAATAATTATGTGATAAAAGTAATCAACTTATGCAATCAACTAACAAGACAACATGGTACAAAAAAAAGTACTATATATAATTTTCTTTGAAGCATTTGAAGTCAGAAAGTAACATACTTTTTACAGTGAATAGCAGGGTGTTTCCTGCTTGGTTCACCAATCAGAATCCAGTGTTCCATTTCATTAGTTGGTAATGTACCCCTTAGAAGTAAACAAGAACAAACATTTGGCACAACTTAGTGACAGCAGGAGTTACGTGGTTGACAGCAGGAGTTACGTGGTTGACAGCAGGAGTTACGTGGTTGACAGCAGGAGTTACGTGGTTGACAGCAGGAGTTACGTGGTTGACAGTAGGAGTTACGTGGTTGACAGCAGGAGTTACGTGGTTGACAGCAGGAGTTACGTGGTTGACAGCAGGAGTTACGTGGTTGACAGCAGGAGTTACGTGGTTGACAATGTGATAAAATCATTAGTAATCGAAAAATAATTACATTTAACGACTACATCCACAGTTAGGCCTAAACAATGTTTATTTGTAAATTGGCAACATGAATCTGACCTGTTAGAAAGTAAATATGGATATGAGAGAAACGTACCTGTAGGCCTTGGCTGCTTTGAACGGTGTAGCCTCGAAGCCCACAGGACAGAAGTAGTGGTTCTGACAGTGGTAAATGTAGGCCATGGTGTCATCCCTTAACCCCTGGGTCAACTTCAACAACGCCCCCTCAGCTGGAACAGCGAGGACAGATAATCAAAATACACTAAATGTAAAAAACAGAATCATGCGGACAGTCTGTGCTACTGTATGCTTTTTTAATCTCTTCGGTTTCATTGTCAAACAAAAGCTATTTCTTCATATAACAGAAAAACCCGGAGGACAACTAACTAAAGTCAAAGCCTGCCCCAAGCCACAATTGCTGGATCGACTGACATTTGAACACACTTGACCTCTTTGTAATTCCAAGCTGAGGCCAGCTTGTTACATCATAGCCAGTTTGTTAGTAGAGAGGAAGACTTCCGTGAAGACGTACTCACCGGTCTCTCCTGCTGTCTTGTGTTTCCCGTGGGGTTTGTACAGAATATAGGAACATCCACGGACACGGAAATTGTCATTGATTTGCCTGAACCATCTGTTCACAAAGAAAAAAGAAAAAAAAAAAGATCTGTAGCCATTTGCTGTGCACCTTGTTTCTAGTGTAAAAAAAAAATCAGAGTATTTCTGAGTATTGTACCTCATCAGAGTAGCGTTGCCTGTAAAAGGACCAAACTTGATCTCCTCAAAAGGAGGCTGGAAGCCTAGGATCTGAAGAGCCCCCTCCTGGGAGATGGGTGGGAGACTGAAAATACACACATAACAATCAAATAGCTGTTATTCCTCTTATTTCTGACTAATTAAAATGTACTACACGCTATAATGTGGTGGAAACATTTGTCTTGGTGTGTGCATATCTCTTGTGTTACGAATATAAGAAGTATTAAAGATGTAGTCTGTTCCTCCAACGAGCGGTGATCTCATTGCCTCAGGTTCAGAGCTACAGACAATGATAAAATGCCTACCTGCCTGCTCCCAGTGTGCTGTACAGAAAGTTCCAGCAGGAAACTAATGAAGATATCCCACATGACGTCTTGTACTGGGGGCGGCTGATACAGTACCTAGAGATGAGAGAGAGAGAGAGAGAGAGAGAGAGAGAGAGAGAGAGAGGAGAGAGAGAGAGAGGAAGCGAGAGAGAGAGAGAGAGAGAGAGAGAGAGAGAGATAGAGAGAGAGAGAGATAGAGAGAGAGAGATAGAGAGAAGAGAGAGAGTAGAGGATAGAGAGAGAGAGATCTACTATCAGTAGCGACCTATAGCTAGAGCGCTAGGAGCGCGTCGCGCATCTCGCAGAGATCTCTGCTCCTCTAGAGCTCTATCTCTCCTCTCTCCTCTCTCTATCTCTCGTGCGCTCTCTCGATTGTCTCTCTCTCTCTCTCTCTTGCGCTCTCTCTCTCTCTCTCTCGCTCTGCTCGGTTAGCGCTTCTATTCTACTTCCTCCCCTCCGTTGAGTTTATTAATGAAACTGAGTGCCTCCTCAGCTAGTTTTACAAATATTTGCTACGGTGCATCAAAAGTAATTTAAAAGTAATTCTCTGGTAAAAAATAAACGTCAGTCTTACTTCTAAACCTAGCTAGAACTGTTTTTACGGCCATTTTTATATCACCTACACTTGATGCTAGCTAGCTAGGCTAACGTTGGCAAAGATAGCTAGCTAAATATTATAGCTAAAAATATCTTAGCTTGCTGCCAAAGAGCTTGCTAAGACTATGTATATAAAGTATATACAATCAAATACATATATAATGTTAGTTAAAAACATTAACAGTAAACATAATGCTTTATAGCTATAATATAGCTAATGTTAGCTAGCTAATGACAAGCTGGTCTCTGCTGGATGCTTTCACGTTTAACTCGTCTGGGTTTGTTGCCGTTAGCTAGCTCATGGACTAGCAGTAGCCAGACATGACACGAAGTACCAACATACAGTGGGGAGAACAAGTATTTGATACACTGCCGATTTTGCAGGTTTTCCTACTTACAAAGCACGTAGAAGTCTGTCATTTGTATCATAGGTACACTTCAACTGTGAGAGACGGAATCTAAAACAAAAATCCAAAAAATCACATTGTATGATTTTTAAGTAATTAATTTGCATTTTATTGCATGACATAAGTATTTGATCACCTACCAACCAGTAAGAATTCCGGCTCTCACAGACCTGTTAGTTTTTCTTTAAGAAGCCCTCCTGTTCTCCACTCATTACCTGTATTAACTGCACCTGTTTGAACTCGTTACCTGTATAAAAGACACCTGTCCACACACTCAATCAAACAGACTCCAACCTCTCCACAATGGCCAAGACCAGAGAGCTGTGTAAGGACATCAGGGATAAAATTGTAGACCTGCACAAGGCTGGGATGGGCTACAGGACAATAGGCAAGCAGCTTGGTGAGATGGCACAATTATTTGAAAATTGAAGAAGTTCAAGATGACGGTCAATCACCCTCGGTCTGGGGCTCCATGCAAGATCTCACCTCGTGGGGCATCAATGATCATGAGGAAGGTGAGGGATCAGCCCAGAACTACACGGCAGGACCTGGTCAATGACCTGAAGAAAGCTGGGACCACAGTCTCAAAGAAAACCATTAGTAACACACTACGCCGTCATGGATTAAAATCCTGCAGTGCACGCAAGGTCCCCCTGCTCAAGCCAGCGCATGTCCAGGCCCGTCTGAAGTTTGCCAATGACCATCTGGATGATCCAGAGGAGGAATGGGAGAAGGTCATGTGGTCTGATGAGACAAAAATATAGCTTTTTGGTCTAAACTCCACTCGCCGTGTTTGGAGAAAGAAGAAGGATGAGTACAACCCCAAGAACACCATCCCAACCGTGAAGCATGGAGGTGGAAACATCATTCTTTGGGGATGCTTTTCTGCAAAGGGGACAGGACGACTGCACCGTATTGAGGGGAGGATGGATGGGGCGATGTATCGCGAGATCTTGGCCAACAACCTCCTTCCCTCAGTAAGAGCATTGAAGATGGGTCGTGGCTGGGTCTTCCAGCATGACAACGACCCAAAACACACAGCCAGGGCAACTAAGGAGTGGCTCCATAAGAAGGTGTGGCCTAGCCAGTCTCCAGACCTGAACCCAATAGAAAATCTTTGGAGGGAGCTGAAAGTCCGTATTGCCCAGCGACAGCCCCGAAACCTGAAGGATCTGGAGAAGGTCTGTATGGAGGAGTGGGCCAAAATCCCTGCTGTAGTGTGTGCAAACCTGGTCAAGACCTACAGGAAACATATGATCTCTGTAACTGCAAACAAAGGTTTCTGTACCAAATATTAAGTTCTGCTTTTCTGATGTATCAAATACTTATGTCATGCAATAAAATGCAAATTAATTACTTAAAAATCATACAATGTGATTTTCTGGATTTTTGTTTTAGATTCCGTCTCTCACAGTTGAAGTGTACCTATGATACAAATTACAGACCTCTACATGCTTTGTAAGTAGGAAAACCTGCAAAATTGTCAGTGTATCAAATACTTGTTCTCCCCACTGTAGTTGGATCCTTCATTATTTTTGTGCACTACACAAACATTTGAGAACAGTCAGCTAGCTAACATTAACTTGCAAATTAGAGTTGAAACAAGCTAGCTAGCTAACGTGAGCTAGCAGGGATTGAAAGCTAGTTACATCCTATCAAACCTGTTGTCTGGTGTGTTTAGTTAGCCTGCTAGCTAGTAGCCAATGCGAGGGCAAGCAAAGTTTAAGAACCAAGCTAGCTAGCTTGTTATGCTAGTGACGACGCTAACCGTTTAGCCACAGATAGAACAATGAGATAGATATTTCATTGGATGTATAAATGTGAAGCATCCGGTTGGCGTTTCCACTCACTACCAAATATGGTGATGAAAGGAAGCCCAGTGGCCGGCAAGTGGGAGAAGATGGATTTGGCCTACATTCTGCTAAATTTCTCATCGATTGAATATTTGATCTCCATACAGTTTTCTGTTTCCAAAACTAGAATCTGTAACAAACAGAGTGGACTGCGTTTTGTAGACTTTACCCTTTGCCAAAGTTTCAAAAAAGTTTGTTTTTTAGAAGGAGTGCAAAGGGTGAATAAAGTTATTGCACATGCGCACTTCACAGAGTAGGCGTTCCCTAACGGAAATATGCAAATAAACGCTAGAACACGCCAATAGGATCTCACTAGCTCGTACTTGGCTCTGCCCACCTCCTTGCCCACTATGATTAAATTGCTCCCATTGGAATCGACAGGCTCTGGTCTATCTTGGATTAGTCATAAAATCACATTTATACATCCAGTGAAATATCTGGCTCATTGTTCAATCTGTGGGGTAGCTGCATCCCAATATGGCGAACGAATATATGGGCGAGTGGGCGTGTTGAAAGGAAAGGAGTGGGCGTGTGGAAAGGAGTGGGCGTGTGGAAAGGAAAGGAGTGGGCGTGTGGAAAGGAAAGGAGTGGGCGTGTGGAAAGGAAAGGAGTGGGCGTGTGGAAAGGAGTGGGCGTGTGGAAAGGAAAGGAGTGGGCGTGTGGAAAGGAAAGGAGTGGGCGTGTGGAAAGGAGTGGGCGTGTGGAAAGGAGTGGGCGTGTGGAAAGGAAAGGAGTGGGCGTGTGGAAAGGAAAGGAGTGGGCGTGTGGAAAGGAGTGGGCGTGGGGAAAGGAGTGGGCGTGGGGAAAGGAAAGGAGTGGGCGTGGGGAAAGGAGTGGGCGTGGGGAAAGGAGTGGGCGTGGGGAAAGGAAAGGAGTGGGCGTGGGGAAAGGAGTGGGCCTGGGGAAAGCGCTCTGCTATAGGTTAGACGGTTTTCATTGAACTGTGTTGTTTTTTTTGCTTCCGTTTCTTACCACACAACTACCGTACATTGAGCTAACGTACCTCAAGAGTTTCGACTTCTGTTTTTAAGCCAGAGGATGAGTCAGATCATTATACTGTATTAACTAGTACCTCAGTAGTTAATACAGTATAATGAGCTGTGTGTTACCTCAGTAGTTAATACAGTATAATGAGCTCTGTGTTACCTCAGTAGTAGTTAATACAGTATAATGAGCTCTGTGTTACCTCAGTAGTAGTTAATACAGTATAATGAGCTGTGTGTTACCTCAGTAGTTAATACAGTATAATGAGCTGTGTGTTACCTCAGTAGTTAATACAGTATAATGAGCTGTGTGTTACCTCAGTAGTGGTTAATACAGTATAATGAGCTGTGTGTTACCTCAGTAGTTAATACAGTATAATGAGCTGTGTGTTACCTCAGTAGTAGTTAATACAGTATAATGAGCTGTGTGTTACCTCAGTAGTAGTTAATACAGTATAATGAGCTGTGTGTTACCTCAGTAGTTAATACAGTATAATGAGCTGTGTGTTACCTCAGTAGTAGTTAATACAGTATAATGAGCTGTGTGTTACCTCAGTACTAGTTAATACAGTATAATGAGCTGTGTGTTACCTCAGTAGTAGTTAATACAGTATAATGAGCTGTGTGTTACCTCAGTAGTAGTTAATACAGTATAATGAGCTGTGTGTTACCTCAGTAGTTAATACAGTATAATGAGCTGTGTGTTACCTCAGTACTAGTTAATACAGTATAATGAGCTGTGTGTTACCTCAGTAGTAGTTAATACAGTATAATGAGCTGTGTGTTACCTCAGTAGTAGTTAATACAGTATAATGAGCTGTGTGTTACCTCAGTAGTTAATACAGTATAATGAGCTGTGTGTTACCTCAGTAGTAGTTAATACAGTATAATGAGCTGTGTGTTACCTCAGTAGTAGTTAATACAGTATAATGAGCTCTGTGTTACCTCAGTAGTAGTTAATACAGTATAATGAGCTCTGTGTTACCTCAGTAGTAGTTAATACAGTATAATGAGCTGTGTGTTACCTCAGTAGTTAATACAGTATAATGAGCTGTGTGTTACCTCAGTAGTTAATACAGTATAATGAGCTGTGTGTTACCTCAGTAGTGGTTAATACAGTATAATGAGCTGTGTGTTACCTCAGTAGTTAATACAGTATAATGAGCTGTGTGTTACCTCAGTAGTAGTTAATACAGTATAATGAGCTGTGTGTTACCTCAGTAGTAGTTAATAC